ATTACTTTGAATAAGTGATTGTCAGTCAAAACGATTACAAGATGAGGAAAGATTATTTTTTTATATTCTCGTTTAAGTACAACAAAATATTAAAAATTGCATACAAGTCGTAAATCACTTAGTTGACAGATGCACATTTTAACACACTTATATTGTCAGACATTTTATGCGAATGTTTACACTTTTTGTCAGACTCGTTTAGATTTAATAATTTTATTTTAATATTTAAAAATTAATAGAAAAAAAAATAATCGTATATAAATAATTCAAAAAAATAATTTAATGTTTAAACGTTTACATTTTAAGATGCACGGGTAAAAAATAAGTAAATTTGGCCATTTTTATTATTACGCTATCAGATACGTTAACTTTGTTAAGAATGTTATTTTGGTTTTTCTTAACCTAAATATTATTTAGGAAAAATCCATTACAGTCAGTACAGAAATAAAGCTTTTTCGTTTCTTGAAAAGTAGTAATTGTGACTTATCCCTTTTTACTCGCACACAATCCATATATACTGTAAGAGTCCCTCGATAGTCCAGTGAACGTCCGGACGGTACATTAATCCATTAATACTAGTGACTTGTCCAAATTCCGGGAACACCATTAACTTATGAAAATAATTTATCTACAACAATTTTGATATTTGGAATCAACTTCACCCTTTTATTGTACTTATCTATTGTTCAATTTTCGTTCAATCATTTTTTTTTTTAATGAGAAATGAGAGCCTAATGAAAAACAAATATACTTATTTGTTCACTAATAAATAATGAGGTCAAATTAATTCGACATATTTTTAGACATCTTATTACATTATATTATGGAATTAATTGAAACAGTTTTTAAAAATTATAACTTTATTTGAATACAAATTTTTTATTTTTAAATTATAAAAACAATTTTAATAATAAAATATTATAATAATTATTATTATTGTTATTTTTTTTTTCAATATTATGGATTTAAGAAACAGTCTTGTAGCATACCGCTTTTAGCTAATGTGATGCCTAATTTAATAAAATAGTTTTCTTTACTATTATCATCTATTATTATTTATTATAATATATTTGGGGGCTCTGTGAAAATATTTAGAGGACCTCAGCACCACGATTCCCCCCCCCCCTATCTTTAACCTATATATTTGCCTATATCCATCGGTCACCTAGTATCTGTAGTCATTTCCAGCCACTTTGTGCAACTTGATGTTAAAGGAGCAAATGCCAGAAGGGCTGGGAAAAATCGACAGGGTAGTATCTCAGCCACTCGAGTTAGTTGTTCATTTCACCTCTCGTCAGTAAACAAAGTTATCCCTCCTCTATTCAAGGTGACTTATTTGAGTGTGACACCTCCGACTTATGTTATGCTTACGATGGTTCTTCCCTTTCATATTATACGTGTATCCCATTTTTGCTCAGCCGAAACGTAAATAATAAAATATTATTGTAAACGGGTTTGTTTACAATACTATTTTTTTTATTTATTTTTTTTTTCTTGAAGGATTTATCAAAATGACAAAACAATTATTATTTAAATCTTTTACGAAGCTCTGGAACATACCCGTACCGTTTAAAAGTTGAATATTTTACCGGTGTACATACGTTGCAGTTAAATGCTCATAACAATCATTGTACATCGACATTCATAATTATAAAACTGATTAACAAAAATAAATATTATAACAATACTCATGTCTATGAACATAATGATATACAATTACTATGGATGAGATACTAAAGCAGCTAATATATGCATGAAACATACGCCGTGTGCATTTTATAGAATATATACTATTAAGTGTGTATAGAAACTTTAAACGGGTTAAACTTTACACGTTTGCGTATTTTCATTATTTCTGCATTATTATAGCTGTGCTCTGTATAATATTATAGTTTTTCTAAAAAAATGAAAACAGCAGTATGATAATATTATAGAATGAAAATAAAATAATAACTTTTCCATGACAAAATAACATTTTCTGCGTATAATAGGTGGATGAAACAAACTCATAATGATATTTACAATATTTATAAAAATAAAATTACTGATTTTATTCGTAACTCTGCAAGTACTCTAAAACCATATTTTACCTATTAATTATTGTAATTCTAAAACTGTACCTTAAAGTATTAATTACAAACATGTATGACGAATTTTAAAATTCATACTATCTATAATCTATATGTTTACTGTATTGTGATATTCGTATGTCTTGTATAAAAAACAAAACTTCTTATGAGACACCTGTATGCAACACATTATTGGTGAGGGTGCTGTTTTGATACGGTCTCGCAATTACGTTCTATGATCAGTGGTGTTACTCAACTGCATTGGTAAATATAACGATAGTATAATGTTGGCCAATGGTATTCATTTGGATAATGTTTACCATATATATTCAACATAACGACAGTTATATAAAATTTTAAAACAAAAAAAAAAAGGACAATTAAATAAAAAAAAAAAAAAAAGATAATAAATAAAAAAAAAAAAAAAAAATACAAAAGAAAAAAGAATGTCTCCCTTCAATAATCTATCCATGTTGTATATCCTTAGGCCCTCAAAAAAGGCTTCGTCAAACTGAATTGGATTTTGTACAAGATCATGGGAAATGCACGGAATTATAGCGGAAAATTTCGATCATTCGTTTTCGATAACCATTATTTAGTGCTCAATATTTGCGTTATTCGGCGATACCATTTTTAAAATAGCTCAATTTCCCTCTGAGATAATGGATATTTCTTCTTTGATTTCAGCGGGTTCACTGCTAGTATCGAAATTCACCATAGCCCAAATATTTAATGCACAATAATCAGTAGTATTTAACGGTGGATACCTACCATTTTAGTATTTAATCAACAATTAGTCCTTTAGTTCTCAAGACTGCTATGCACACCTCTTGGTTCAAGCTTAACCAGTCAGTGACATACTCATTACTTCGTCCTGTCAAATCCATTACCATTTGAGTGGGCAATTCCAATATAGAAATAAATCAGAGTTCAATATTTTGACAAAGTGTTAACTCGCTAGTTGCAACATTGGTTCGAATCAGTTAAATGAAAATACTGCTACCTACACGTGGTGATTTTGTTCCCTGACAGCCTTGTACACCAAAAAATGACCATACGCTCCCCATTGCAAAATTTCCTTTTAATACCTGCGTTTTCGTGCCAAATTTATGACAAGCTATGATTTATCTTCGTCCCATTTCAATCAACCTTTATTTTCTAAACTACTGTAGAATAAAACTCACAAAACACTATCATAGCCAATACAGTTAATAAACAGTAGAATATAACATAAAACAAATTACAGTTTAAATATTATATATTAATATACATATCAGAAACAAACGACCGCCACGAGCTAACTTAAGTCTGAATAATCCAAGCACAAGTGTAGAAAGAGGAATACCCATAGAGTGCATTTCGAATTAGCATGAACTTGTTTTAAATTGGTTTCTAATTTTTATTATTTTTTGTATACATATGTTAAACATTCAAATACCAATAATTTGCATTTAAATTTGTTGAAAAAAAATATTTATAAAAAAATAATAAAAATTTATTTCATTTTAAAAACTAAACAAAATGAATGGAATCTATACATTTTTCAAAATATTAAAAAATATAATAAAATAATAAAATCAAAGGTGCCTATATATAGTGTGTACGATTATTAAATGTGTATTGATTAGAAAGTGTTTAACACACAATTCCTCCAACAAAAAAAATTAAAATGTTATTTTACTTTTTTATTAGATTTGATATGACACATCATGCCATACGTTTGAATAAAGGAGAATGATTTATACATAGATCAGTCACTGGATTGTTACTCATTAGTTTTTTGGGGTACTGAATCATAGAAATAGCTCAGTTAACGTATAAGAACTGAGCACTATTCTAAAAACAGTTATTAAAATGATTTATTTAAAACTTAACAAAAACAAAAACTAACATGGAATTAATCAATATTTGCGAAAACAATAATTTTAATTTTTTTACTTTTAAGTTTTTGATTTCTAAGTAATAACAGATATTATTTTACAGGTACGATAATTTACTATACATACTTTACTTCAACGAATATTATAATATTTCAAACAACTAAAATTATTTATACTTTATAGATATTTACATCGGTCGAAAAATAGGTTTCCAATTGTTTATGGACTGAGAAACGATATAATATAGTGGATAAGCTCTATTCTTTCCAAAAACTGAGTCTATTCAGAACTATTGTACATAGTATAAACAATGGCAGAGTAGGAGTCGATAAGGATGCAATAACAACAACTAAACGATTAAATTGTTATCAAACCATTCGCATTACTCTTGTTACCCATAATCCATAACGATACAATAAGCGTCCTCGATAGCTGGTGACGGATATTAACACACATTATATCATATTGGTTTTAATTATAACAAAATATAATAATTTATTTAATAATAATAATTACAAAGCTAACACATAGCTGTGAAGTATATTAAGTGGGTTTTTTTAATATATGTGAGTACAATTTATTAGGTACATATACCTTACGTCGTGGAATATCGTATATTGTCTTATATAAATATTATATATAATCAGGCAATAAAATGAAAATAACATACACACTCCATAGCATATTGATCATTAATTAATTAAAATAATTTAAATTTAAAATTATAATGAAATTTAAAACCAATTTTCACCAATAATTCAATAATATAACAATATAGCTGTGCTATTGAGGTCTATACAGTTTTTTGGAGTTGTTTGAAAACGTACCCTCAAACGTGCAACGACATTTTAATCAAATTCCGCGCAAACGGTTGATGACCCGTAAGTAATCATCGCATCGGAACAACCGTCGTTATTATAATATTATTATATGCGTATAATAAGGGCATCACCGCATAACAATAATATAATTTTTGTTTCATAATATTATATTCTACCGGTTTCGCGTATCATATCACAACAATAACGATTGCGTTTGTCGGGAATTTCAGATATTCTTCTTCCTCACGTCGTACGCGATACCTCTGGCCATCATATGCATCCTGTACGTGCTGATGCTGATGAGACTGTGGAAAGGAGTGAACCCAGGCGGGCAACCACCGTCGGCCGAGAGCCGGAGGGGCAAGAAGAGGGTCACCCGAATGGTCGTCGTCGTGGTCGCCATATTCGCCTTCTGCTGGTTTCCGATACAGGTACGTACCTACCATGCGTTTAATATTATAATGTGTGTGTGCATGGGCGTAACTTGGAAATATATTAGGGGGGGCAAATATATAATATATATATATATTATATATAATTATTCATTATGCATTATTTAAGCATTCTAAGCATTATCTAACAAGATACCTAAGCTAAAATTGAATATTAAGATTTAAAAAAAAAACTGTATAGTAGTAGCTATAACCAGCTGTTTTGTACTTATTTTAAAACAAGGTATGTTAAATGTCAGAGGGGGCACTGCCCCTCCTAATTTATTCTAGGGGGGCAATGGCCCCCCCTTGCCCCCCCAGTTTACGCCTATGTGTGTGTGTGTGTATCGAAGTGTAAGATGATTTTACTACTAACGTCGTTTCGGTCGGTAATGCATCCGATAGCCTAAGCATAGGTACGTTTTCCCTTTTTGGCAGCACAATAAATCGGGTGGTACGGTTTTTTCCTGCAATCTTACAGTTCATTTATATTTTTGTACTAGCTGAGCCAACACGGCAGTGTTGCCCTTGACAAATTAAACGGATTTACCCCTTCTATAACTCTATTAAATATTTAAATGTAAGCCGCACAGATGTTGAACATAGTTATTTGGGTTGTTTTGATCAAATATAAAATACAGGTTTACAGCAGCCAGTGTTATATCCAAATGTCGTAATAACCATTTTGTTTACTAGGTAATATAATAACAATGAAAACCCCGTAAACATAGGTTAATTCGTTTCAAAGCCTTTCCCAGACAAACAGACAAACAGACAAAAAGTCAAATGTATATAGGTATGTGCGTGTTTCGTTGAATATCACATTAAATTTTATACTTTCATAAAATATCACAGTGTCGGCATAAACAATTTGAATACTTTTCATTCGTGATACGCAAGATGTATTACCAGCTGACTTCACCCGGGTTAAAAGTAATCGATCTATCCATCGTTTTCCGTTGTATAATACAATACCTGTCAAAACCCGGTTACAATTGGTTCATCGGCTTCGAACCCTTTCCTGGGCAAACGGATAAACAGACAGACAGCAAAACATATCTGTGCTTGTTTCATACAATACAACATATTGTTTTAATCGTGTGTGTTTAAAAATCACAGGGCACGAGTATACAATTTGAAAACATTTAATTTGTGATACGCGTGGTAAATAAAAGAAAAAAAGGTGGACAAGTGGGTATCGTTCTGCAGTTGTACATATAAGGTGTCATGTGGGTCACTGTAATAGCTTGTGATAGATGTGTTGAATTTGTATACAATGATATTATATCATCAAAAGCCTGTATTTCTATAACTACATATTTTATGATACTAAGTATTGCTTTTAAAGTAATTAATTTTACTATGTATTAATAAAACAGAGGGATGAATTAATTTTCGCCTTAAATATTTCATATTATATAACTTAGAAGTTTTAAGTACCCTCGAATATTTTTAGATTACAAACAATTTCTAAAATCATTATTCGTCGTTTAAATATCTAATTTTGTCCATAGCTGTACTCAAGAGAATTATGTTTATATAATTTTTACATTTTTTGGTTATAGAATTAAATGTTTATGAGTAATTTTGTTTTGAATTTTCAATACTCCAACGAAATATCTTATTTTCACATTTCAATCAATTGAAAAACTAGTATTTTGTAAATAAGTATTTTTTTATTTTATATACAACAATACATGGAACAACCTTTTTATGGATGAATGGAAGAGGTATAATATATAACTCCAGTTTTTCAGGAGACAAATTCTGTCACTAGCAGCAGATCATATAGCTTAGACCAGTATTTATAAGATCTCGAGATGAGACTATATAAGTTAAGTTAATTTACAGATGTTTAATTATGCATACATTGTAAAACAGTATAACTAAGTAAATTGTAAAATAGATATAGGTATAGTTATGAAAATCTCTCGACATTGCACGAAAATCCAGTATGACGCTATTGAATGTTTACCCTTTTAGTAACACTATTGAGCATAGAATATTTTAAGTGATGTTGCCAAATTTAAAGTTTAAACCGACGTATTGTTAACTATTATTTCCACTTATTAATTATACTATACGAGCTATTGTTGCACACAGTATGTCTATATGTACAGTGTACACTTATCGAAAATGTTGTAGATTTATAAATTGGTTAGATATGTACCTAATAAAACTGCCGTTAAAATGACCACAATGTTAGCTTATCCATGGTGCTAACCGTGATAAACTCGACAAACTCATTTAAACATTGGGACATTTGGCACTGGTCAAACATTCGCAATGGCCATTTAAGTTGTACAAATAAGTAACTTTAAGTAGTAACTAGTAAGTAATTCCTAAATTGTTATAGAAATAATTCAGTTTGTGAGTGTTTAATCTCGTCCTAGTAACTAAAATATATGCAGTAATCTAGCTTGGACTATTCTATCATACAAGTCTCTTATTTTACCAACAAATTATCACAAAATAAAAATTCAAAATGTATACTCAAGGTAAACCCTGATGTTTTTTATTTAAAAACATCGGGACCAGTTTAGGTTCCGGTTGTATACAAATAGTTAAATTCGGTTCCCATTAAGTATACCAGTTACAAATATTTTAAATTTCTATTGGTAAACATTTTTATTTCGGTTATAGTCCCTGCAGGTTAGTGGTTACTATTACAGTATTAAGCGTATTATTAAGTACAACAATTTTGACAGCATCGCATCATGTAATCAAGTTATTACGATTCGTCGGAATTTATATTGTAACATTAATTATTATAATACGCACGGGACAGAGTGGTGATTCGATGGACCATGGACCCATGCACGTCACGCTTATCCACCTCCCTGGTGTGTTTTTCCCCGACGGTTTATTGTTGTTATCGTCATAACCATCCTGCGATCATCGCTATTTTTGATTTTGTATTTTTTAATCCGCTTTTTCGCTTTTCAAACACGCTCCTCCGCGATCTGCGTCGCTAATATCAAACACCCCTTAAAACACGCCACCACCCTTAAGAAATAATCCAACTGCCTCTTTCTGTGTCATAAATACAGTATTTTATTAACGATCATAATTTTATGGTTAAAAAGTATAAAAAATAATAAAAACATAAAATAGACGTACCCGTATGTTATTGACTTACATCGAAAATAAATTACGATCGGTTTTGCCAACGAAAAGAAACATTTATTTGCAAGTCATAACAATAGTGGTTAAGTAACGGTTTAGACGTCGTTTGAGATTTACAGTGATCCCAATTTGCTGACGATAAAGTTGTTTTAGAAATGTGTTTGAACTATCCTACCCCTCTCACCTAGTAAAAATTACCACTATTCATCTTGTCAATTGACAACAAATCGGTGCAATTAAAAAAATGTTTAAGACATTTGTCAGTATACGATTTTAATACAAATAATGATCGTTCACCTGTTCAATAATTTATTTCCCACTGATGCTGAATGGTTTTTACAATACTGTCATTTAAAGCCTTTGTAAACAACCCGCCACCGACAAACAGTTATTGCCGGTAGATATAGCTATGCAATAATATTATTATTAATTAAAACTGTTTCACTCGACGGGTTTGTTGTTCAATCCAAAATCACAATAAATTGGTTGTAAATAGTTTTAAAATAAATATTATTGCACTCGGTTAATTAAATTGTCCGAATACTTACACAAAATAAAGAATTACGTGTGGAACGATACGTCACATATAAACTGGTCTGGTGAAGTTGAAATGATATTTTCTTTACTCTGAAATTGTTATAAATACACAAATCTATTTTACTTATACTCGAAATTTGAATGTGAGATTAAATTAATATTAATCAATATCGAGATTTCCATTAAGTTAAGGATATTTCAACATATTTAAAGGATATTAATAAATAATACTGCAAATATGCATTAAAATTAATCATTCAAACAAGTGTAATATAAATTCTCTCTTTTTTGTTAATAAATATTGTTTTTTGGCAGGTAAAATTTTTGAAAGTTTCGTCTTTAAGTTTATTAAACATAATTTTTTAAGTTGTAAAATAACTAATAAATCCTGAGTAAACTAGTAAACTTTCGTCACAATTAACTTTGAAAGTCTGTTTTTAAGACATAATATAATAACCTTAGTAATTTTTTCTTAATATTTTATATCCTAAGTAGGTTCTATAATAAACTTAACACGATGTCGAGACTATAAAAAATGAAAAAATTCTAGTTGATTGAGTATGTTGAAAATTTTATTAAAACACATTAATATAATATAGTTGTAAAGATGGAAATTTAATAAGCACCAAGCATTTTTTTTATATCAGAAATAAAACAGAATTATTCCTATTCCACGTGACTATAAAGTTGAAAGGATTACATCACAGGACTTGTGTAATCCATGAAAGGTTTGTAATATATATTTAATTAAACTAATATAGGTAGGTACTGTGCATATTAAATATTATATACCCAAGTCCCACATGTATATAATAATATACAGATTTAAAAATAATTGTTAAAATACACTGTTGACATGTTAATATTGTATTACGTTAGTTATAAACTTATTGTTAGATAGCTTACTTAAATTCTAAAAATAGTAATGTATTGTAAAAGTGTAAGAAACTAATATTATAATATAATAACGAAGTATCTATGATCTTATATGAGTAGAATTTTGTAACCGAGGTCAAAAAGTTATATAAGTTTAAAATAAAATATAAAATATTCAGAATGAAATTAAAAAATAATTTTTAAATACACTGTTTATCTACAAAATTGAGTCAACAAACACAAACAAGTGAAATGAGTAGTAACTAAAAAAAAAGTTTACTTGATACTAATAATATTTAATACCTACACATTTTATATATAATGTTATATTTTTCTTGTATTGTCACATAGTACATAGGTTAGGTTCTTTATTATAAAATTAATTATATTGTAAACAAAATATATTATAATAGTACGTTTCACGGTGCTTATACATTTAATTACTTAAAAAATGAGATTGA